CCAGTTCTCATCAGATAACTCCAAACTCCTGGCGTCTGAAAGTTTGGTGACGGATCTGTCGGATAATACAGCAGCAACGGCCCATCTCTGTTCGTGTAGGCGTGCAAACATATCGCTGACTGAATTCCAGCGAGTTTTGCAGGACTGTATAAGTGTGTGTTGGGGCAAAGCTTGCTGTTCCTGCTTTTTCTTGAGTGCAACAGTTGCCACAGTACTATGGTGAAAATGGCTCATCAGTCTTGTGCATGCACCAATTAACCGTGTCATGGTGTTAGCTTTAAATCCATCCGTTACCGCTAACTGCAGCGTGTGGGCAAAGCATGCAACTGACTCCCACTCGAGGTCTTTGTTGGCCAGCACTATATTGCTTGCGTTGTCGTGGACACAGGCAGTGACCTTGCTGTTCAGACCCCAATTACTAATTGCTGTTCGAAGATGTTCTGCTAAGTTTTCCGCAGTGTGGCGCTCATCGAGTGTGCGAGTCTGTATTACGCTACTTTTGAGTTCGCCTTCGATGATAAAGTGGCACGTTATTGTCATGTAAGCCTCTGTTTTTAATGATGTCCAGCAATCAGTCGTTATTGCTACGTAATCTGTCTTCTCCATGGTATTTTACATATTCGCGAGCATGTTCTGATGCGCCAGCTCCAACCGTGACGTGATCATTTTCCGCCCTGGTACTCTGTATTCAGGCTCAACGAAGTCCATGAGTTTGCGGAAGCCTTCTCCTTCAACAAAACTGAGTGGCAACAGGTCTCTTGATATCATCTCAGAGATCAGCTCAGTTATTTTTTCAGCGCGGACGGGATCGCAGCGGCGGCGGGTTGTAGTGAATGACGTGATTGACATTTGCTGGCTTTGGCCAGCCTCCAAGTCTAAGCGAACGCCTACGTGCCTGTATTGAATATGATTACGCATTGCTCCAGTAGAGTTATTGTAAGCCAATTTGACATTACAGAGTTTACACACAACTTTTCCGTTTCCTTCTAATTCAAAGTAATCCCACACCTTGCTCGTCTTTCGCGTGGTCATTTTTGAGTTCGCCATAACTGACATGAAGAAAACTCATGCGAGGTCTGAGGTAAAAACGTAGTTTCCGCCCAGAAACGCTTTAAAAAATAATCTATTATTTTTCAAACATTTTATTTTACATTTTATTTAAAATGTTTTAAATTTAACGTAAAAATTATGATAATTTGAATGATAAAATCATGTTTTTTTTTCTCTTGTGTAATCGCCTATTGTTTTCAGTGTCGACTAGTGGGAGCTGTACCGTTTAGTCGACTAGTCGACTAGACCCGCACATCCCTAATACACACACACACACACACACATATATTAGGGGTGTAACGATACGTGTATTCGTACCAAACGGTTCACGGGGCAAATTCCAAATGGAAGTGATCATCCCTATCCCCTTGGAGTGAGCAGGGCACGTGCGTGCCATTATGTAGTCATTTGGAATGCACTTGACAAAGGGAGAGACGTGGTTCTTTACCCTGTAAGCAGTCAAAGGAATGTTGTCATGCAATTGAAATGCTGATCTCACAAAGACCTTTCCTCCACGGGCTTCAAACTAGACGACGTGATGAGCAAATAGCTTCTCTGACATGTTATCATTTAAAAACCAACATTTGCGACAAACTAGCGAATTCCTAATAGTTCATGTAACTTGATTGACAACTTATTTTTTTATGGTCATCGGCTAGCGAAAAAAAGGTTAGCGGGCTTATTCACTACAGCTCCTAACTACTGTAGGCATCAAATGGAAATGTCAGTTAAATCCAACCAAACTGTTCTTAAATAAAGATTTTCTTCCTTAAGTTTACATTACTTCAAAATGGGCACTCGATTAAATAAGTTTATTTAACTTAAATCATTGGAGTTAAAGTAACACATAAATTATAAATAAAGCAATTCATAACTTATTCAGATTGAGTTGTGCTTAATATAATCAGTTATTGAGTTCACTTAACTCTTTTTTTATTAAGTTTAAGTAACTTTAAAAAAAATATGTAAGTTAGATGAACTTATTTTATTTAGTGAATATCACTGTTACGTTTTACAGTGCATGATCAGTGAGGTTCAAAAAAACACTGGCAAAAAACATCTCAAAGTCTGGGGTTCCCTGACTTCTCTCAGCCATTCATGCTTCACATGATGCGTACAATCAAGGCCTGGGTGCTGTCTTGTATCAGAATCAAAACAGCAAGTTAAGAGTAATAGGTTATTGCTCAAGAATCTTGACAGCTGCAGAGAAAAACTACCACCTGCACAGTGGAAAACTGGAGTTTCTTGCCCTCAAATGGGCTATAACAGAAAAGTTTAGAGACTACCTATATTATACACCTACCTTCACCATGTACAGTGATAACAAACCCCTTTGTTATGTGTTGTCCTCCACAAGGTTAAATGCCACTGGATGCAGATGGGTTGCTGAACTTGCAGACTTCCATTTCACCATTCGCTATCTCCCAGGTCAAGAGAATGTAGATGCTGATTCACTATCCAGAATGCCAGTTAATATAGAGACAGCAATGTGAGAATGTACAGAGGAGCTTTCAACAGAGTGTGTGGGAGCCACAATACAAGCTGTGGAGGTCCAGCACGACCCAGATCCACCACTTACCTAAGTCTGTCAGGGTGCACAGGCATGCAGGGAAATTGATGATGAACATTACAAATCATTATCAAAAGAGGAGATCCAGGAAGCACAAAGGGATGACAAGAATGTCAAAGAAATCATAGACTACTTGCTTCTTCAAAGCAGTGGCAGTCAGCCAATCCTATTTAGAGGTCTAATGCGTGAGTAGGACAAGCTGTTGTTGGACAAGTATGGCATAATTTAGCGTAAAACATCACAACGAATGCAGCTAGTGTTGCCTGCCCAGTTTAAGAAAACAGTATTGTCTTGAGAGAGCTACGTGATGAGATGGGCCACCAAGGCACAACCAGCCTCGTCAGAGAGTCACCACACCAAAAAATGTGTAATTTGTGCATTAAAGCTTCTTTTTTTTTTAATTGGGCAACAAAGTCTTACCGTATTTATAGAAAGTGCACAAGGATTTAACTTCTTGAAATTCACAGCCAGTTTAATAATGATGTGAGTTTGTGCTTCTGCTCACTCAGCTGTTCAATGAGGCAAATAATTTCTGTTCTAAATAGCCTAGCTAAAGCAGAAATAAGGTGCTATCAAATGTTACAGAGTGAACTTTTTCATGAACTAAGCAACTGGTTTTAAAAGAGATTTGTGTAGGATTTATTTATTAAAAGCTCTTGCTTTCCCTGCTTATTTGTGTTGTGAGTACAATGCATTCTTGATCATTGCTATGCTGGAAACACAATAGAACCCCAGTTTGGCTCAGATATCTTAGTTAAAGAGTAACCATGAACTTTAGTGAAACTATTTTTCACATTTACAATAATCCTCTCACTGCTCTTTAAATTAAATTCCCAATGACCATATCTGAAAACTATGCAGTCTTTATACAGAAGTGTCATTCAAGCATAACCAAAACTCATTTTAAATTCATCAAGGAAACCCTTTTGATTAATAAATGACTCCAGATATCTGGTTCATTGGCTTTGTCCTTTTTAATGTTTAGTTAATTCAGCATAACCAGCGGCAACTGTAAGATTAGTGCTGCACTGATAAACCAATTTGTCCTCTGAACATATGTACCGTTTTGTCTTATCTTAGAACATTTTTCCTGATGAAATGTTGTAAATGAAGCCATGCACTTGGCTATAACCAGCGCTGATGTTTCCTTAATTAAGGATCCAATGCCACCACTATGTGGTTGAAAATGATAATGCAGTGCTGTCTTTTGATCATGAATCTTTAGGCGTGACCCTGAGCTGACATGTCTGTCAGTACAAGATTTAGGCTTCAGTTTTGGAGCGTGAAAAGATATGAAAATTAAAACATGAAGATAATATTGTGTTATTATTTAAATTAAGAGATTGCAGGATTGCTTGTTTCTGAAATGCCAACAAGGCCTATGGATTATTTAATCTACAATGTCAAATACTACAGAGGTCTCATATGTCTAGTAATGCAACTCATGCTATCCTTCATGTACTGCTGAGCAATTTCTAACCCGCTTTGTTCAGACACCAGAACTTTTATTATTTATTGTGCAGTCTTCGCTTCTTTCATAATTGATGCTTGCATAGCCTGCAATGAGCATTTCTAATGGGTGCCGGAGCTGAATGTGCATGTACATGTATGATAAATCATGGCTGAATGGGACTACATGGGCATATTTATTATGGATAAAGAAGTACAATTTTGTATTTCTTTATGCACTTTTAGCTGTATTACACCAATAATTACTCTGACACTTTGTATGTACGTATGTTATCATCAGCTGCATTGGTTCTGTTCATTTCATAGATCCTGTCTGGTGCTAAAAAGTGATTTATTTTATTTTATATTTTATTATTATGTTTTATTCATCAAATCATTAAATATCGCTAAACATATTTTAATATGTTCTAAAGTAATTGTAATAATTTTAATCGAAAAATAACTAAATAATATTGACAAATATTGAGATACATGTGACGCACATAAAGGCACCATGCATAAAACAGCCATTTAATCTCAAGGGACCCTTGATAGTGCTGGGAGGGGCACTCCGTGTCCCAGTGCTGCTTTGGCGGTGCTTCTGCCACCATATCTCCCCAAATTTATGTAAAATGAATTATAAAATGCTGTTCAAGTGCGCAGCATATTATAAATAGAATTCATTTATATCATCATTGTGAATACCGTTAAGGAAGACGGAGCTTTATGCAGTTCATGCAGTGATGACAGACACAGCTAGTTTAGCTATTCAGATAAAATAATCCATAAGAGATTATTCGTGCTTCATAGGTTACTGTATCCAATGATACATCAGTGCTTCCAGTAACCGCCGTCTTCTGATGTAGTTTACCATATAAAATGAATATAAACCAATGGGAGCTGTGCATGAGCGGGCTGCACCACTGCTGAAAAAGGGGGAGACGCAATTAGTCACCTTGTGGGCTCCTCACCGTTGTCATCCTGTGCATTAAACCGGGCGCGCGACAGCCTTTCACTTGGAAGTGCGCGTGAAGGGACAACAGCAGCCAATCTGATTGAACACACGCACTCTTTCCCTCAGAGCGCCGTTCTGCTGACTCAGTGCCTTATCAGAGCGAACCGGTTCCTCGCCAACGAACAGAACAGAGACGCACCAGTCGCCGCAACAACTCCAGCCATGGCCAAAACTGCGATCGGTAAGACAAACCTTGCTTCATTTTGTTCGCCGGTCCGTGTCTCTTTGATGCTGAGATGATGCTGAGAGATGCACAATAGACCCTGATGCAGGAGAATCAGAGGTCTGTCAGATGAAAAATTATTTTAGATAGGCTAGATATATAAATCTGCTTTCTCCTTCCACGCGTGCTGTTTTATTTTCAAATATGGCTGTGCGTTTTGGCTGCCTACTCACTTTTGCTTAAAAAATGGGGACTTTATAAATGAGAAAACGCATTAAATGGTGTTATTATAGTGCATATCTCTTAAAATACACCGAGACATGCGTTAAAAAGCCTAAAAATGATTTTCTTATGTGTCAGTGCACCTGCCGGCTCATGCATCTCCAGCATAATGCAGAAGGACCCCACCCAAGATCCAGCTCTGTGTTTCAGCCTCCAGAAAACCCTGTAAAGCCTGGCAATACCTGACTCATAACAGTTTAAACCTTTTGACATCCTCTATACATGATATTTTTTATCCTTTTCATAAAATGAGCTAGATGTGACTGGTAAATGTATTGCCAAACAAAGCTTAAATAGGGAAATACAGCATGGTAATGAATTAGGCTGTTTGAAATAGCTTATTGTTATCAATGTGGGTATGTTTGTTATAAAGGCTATATTCCTTAATTTTTTGCCAATTATCACAAATGATAGGTTGGTAATTGGTTTATTGCCAGTGGTTTTTCGCTGATTTGAGAGCATGACTCATTAGCCTGTGGGTTTATTAAAGAATGGCTGCATTTGTATTTTATCTCATTTATAATGGGTATATAAGAATCTATTCCCACACCTACAATGGCATATACAGTCTACCAGCACACATGTCACATGTTTATGTTTAACCCAATTCATAATTCAAACAAACCTCCTTGTTGATTAAACACAAGTTTTTAAGGTGTAATTGTGGATTTGCTTGTACATCCTTTCGTTCACACCATTTCTAGCGCCGTATGAGAGGCAGACTGCAGTATCAGATGATTGATGTTTTAAATGGAAGTGTGTCAGGGCTCAAGTCGTCTCGCCAGTAAGCATGTCTCAGTGCTGTTGTGATTCTGGATTATGTTGTAGGCGGCCAAACTGGGGCATACCATAGACAGACAAGGTGTGCGTCGACTTTATCGCATCTTTGCAAGATGCCTGCAGGGCAGGGCATTGGTGGACTGTAGCTGAATGTCTCTGTTCTAGCTGTCATCTCACTTAGAATGTTAAATGACAACTTGAAGAGACATTTATTTTGTGGAAAACCACTTATGTGCACTTGATCCTGCCATGCAATGCAATTACACGGAGCTGTGTCTTTAGGATATTTCATTTCATTTCACAGAACACACAAGAAATGCACCGACAAATGCCTGTGGGAATCCTCCTGCTAATGAGAAAGAACATGTCAGTCAATATAATCAATACACTTGGAATATTTATAGGGCTTAAAAGAGCTGGCAGGAAGACCTTGGTGTGTTTGTCAGCACCATTTATACCTCTAAAGTCAACCAGATCAAAATAAGAAAATTAAAGGAAAATTAGGTCTTAATTTATGCATAATAAGCTCTCTTATTATGACTCATCTAAAAGCATTGCTTATTTAATTAGACTCTTAATTTAATGATTGGATAATTAGCCACAATTTCATTGTCAGAAATACATATCATATATAAAAAAAGAGCTGACAGGTGCCTGTCTTTGTCATATATACTTTATAGATCTCCTAAACATAGCCCCAGTTTATCATCTATGGTTACTGGATTACTGAAGACAGTATGACTAATCCAATCAAACTCCATTAATCATTAACCTAAAGTTCAAATATACACATTCAGCAATGCTGCACAACAGAGGGGTGCGGCTATTGCTTTTTAAGATTAATGATTTTTTTAGGCTTTAATGTCAACTATATGATATATATATATATATATATATATGTCATAAAAACAAATTTTTAGTTAAAAGTTTCATAAGGACTCAAGCCAGTTTTACTCATTAAAATGAAGTGAAGTGGTTTTAGTGTGAATGGATGATATTTACTGAACATTGAGAGCTAATCTGGAGGGGCATTTGCCCGTGCAGCTGCAGTGGACAGAGCATATGTGTGAGAGAGAAAGCGGGAGGTGGGAGGGGCCATTATTGATTTCCAGGGTGGGCATGCTGATGCATTATCAAACAAACCACACAAAGGACTTCTCGCTCGTCCACTGGCCCGTAAATTTTGAGCAACGCACATTTTTATTCTACTTCATATTTAGTGGTGGTTCAATACATGGTCTGCATCACTGTAGTGCATGATAGTATTATATATTGTAATATTATGTGTATGATATACTATGTATAATACATACAGTATGTAAACTAGTGCATGCAAGTATTATGTATAAGAATCAGTCATGACAAAAACATTTAGTTCATGTAAAAATAATAAGTAGATTAAATGTATATGTAAAGTTAATATTAGATTATCTTATGTAAACTTATATGCAATGCATACATACACACACACACACACACACACACACACACACAATAATATATAATTAGATTAAGTGATTTTTACAGTTGTGCCTGCTTGTAAAAATGAGTGCGTGAAAGTATGATATATAAGAAACAGTTATGCCAAAATACAAAGAATTACAATTACTTACTGTAACACAATGTAATAGTTTATTGTCCCATTACATCAATAATCAATGTATTTTTGACCAGTTGCCACAATATCTACATCTCAAGCCAAGGGTGTGGTCTCCAGACGGCAAATACTCTTTTCTAATTACAAACCTGATATTTTCCAGCAGAAGCTCTCGGTTAGAGCACACTTTTGCACACATACAGATGCAGTCGTCTGTGTGAGATCCTTTTCACCTGCTCACCAGCCGGCTGACCTGAATTACTTGCTTCAGTGAGCTGTCTATCGTCCTGATCTCACTCTGACTAGACAGCAGGAGAGAAATGCTTACCGAGGTCTGGGAACACTCAATATCACAGCACTAAACCTCCATCGCCACCCCCTCAATTTACCGGAAGAAATGGTTTGCTCCAGTAATTACTAATTAAAGCCCCCTACACCAAAATCAGCCAGCCAGAGGGCTTTTAATCCTGGCGGGAGTGAACACAGTGGTTCTCTCACTTCTTTCCTTCCCGGGTTTCTCCATCCTCTATTTGTGAGGGATTAATCAGCTCGTCAGGGAGCGAGAGGGAGTTGATCAGATTTTTCCAGGCTCCTCTGGGCGGAGAGAGTGAAGAAAGTAGGTTGATGCTGGAAAGCATAATAACAGTTTGAAATCCAGCTGAAAAAAACCCCCAAGCGTTCACGGTTTGATAACATCAACAGCGCTGCCGTCAAGACATTGATTTATAACTTAAATGCACTGGCCTTGATAAATGCTGCCTTGTGTGTTCAAGGAAAATCAGATACATTAATATGCTTCACATAGCATCTGCCATCACTGATGTTTGTATGATTTAGGCTTGTTTGCACTTAATGCTGAAAAAGAAAAATGATTCTGAAGTTGTGGATGAGGAATGATTGGGGTAGGATCAATGTAGCCGTCATAAACCGCCATCTGGAAATCTGTCTGGCCTTGTGTTTTCTCTGGTCTTGCCGACTCACTCCCCGCACACATACCCTCAGTAGTCGGAGTAAAAATGGATTCCAATAAATAATGTAACACTAAAGGTTGGGCGGTGGGGGATGGTGGAGCTTGTGGTGAACATTGTCTTGTAAGAAACCAGAGCATGTGAGGACACGGCTGCTGGTTTTTCCTTAGAAAGCTCTAATGAAAACATAGTGCTGTTAAGGCTTGCTTGCTTTATTGATTGATTGATTGTTTTTGTACTCTGTGATCCCCCACCCACCCAACCTCTTAGCCAAACCAGGGACCCTCTACTATTTTCTATTTTTATAAAACATTAAAATTTTAAATTAAAATAATATCAAACATTAATATATGTATATATAAAATATATTAATTTACACACACATGTATGTATGTATATGTTTATGTATGTAATATATTAGTTTTATAAAGTCAGTGGACTTGTTTTGGTATTTTCTGCAATGCATTTTTAAATAATCATTTATACATTGACTGTTAAAATGTGACTTTTTTCTTAGAGATACAGTACAGTAGCTTTCAATAGTAACATTATATCTATCTATCTAGCAATGTATCGATCTGTCTATAGTGTGTAGATTAATTTATATGTATAATAGTAATAATAATAATAATATATTAAATATATAATTATATATATACATTTTAAATAATTTTAATATATATTTTAATTGTTTTGTATTTTAATAATGTAATTTTTTTAATATTTAAAAAAATTATATACAATATAAACATTTCTAAAATCACACACACCTACACACACACACACACACACACAAAAGCCTGGCAATACCTGACTCATAACAGTTTAAACCTTTTGACATCCTCTATACATGATATTTTTTATCCTTTTCATAAAATGAGCTAGATGTGACTGGTAAATGTATTGCCAAACAAAGCTTAAATAGGGAAATACAGCATGGTAATGAATTAGGCTGTTTGAAATAGCTTATTGTTATCAATGTGGGTATGTTTGTTATAAAGGCTATATTCCTTAATTTTTTGCCAATTATCACAAATGATAGGTTGGTAATTGGTTTATTGCCAGTGGTTTTTCGCTGATTTGAGAGCATGACTCATTAGCCTGTGGGTTTATTAAAGAATGGCTGCATTTGTATTTTATCTCATTTATAATGGGTATATAAGAATCTATTCCCACACCTACAATGGCATATACAGTCTACCAGCACACATGTCACATGTTTATGTTTAACCCAATTCATAATTCAAACAAACCTCCTTGTTGATTAAACACAAGTTTTTAAGGTGTAATTGTGGATTTGCTTGTACATCCTTTCGTTCACACCATTTCTAGCGCCGTATGAGAGGCAGACTGCAGTATCAGATGATTGATGTTTTAAATGTGTGTCAGGACTCAAGTCGTCTCGCCGGTAAGCATGTCTCAGTGCTGTTGTGATTCTGGATTATGTTGTAGGCGGCCAAACTGGGGCATACCATAGACAGACAAGGTGTGCGTCGACTTTATCGCATCTTTGCAAGATGCCTGCAGGGCAGGGCATTGGTGGACTGTAGCTGAATGTCTCTGTTCTAGCTGTCATCTCACTTAGAATGTTAAATGACAACTTGAAGAGACATTTATTTTGTGGAAAACCACTTATGTGCACTTGATCCTGCCATGCAATGCAATTACACGGAGCTGTGTCTTTAGGATATTTCATTTCATTTCACAGAACACACAAGAAATGCACCGACAAATGCCTGTGGGAATCCTCCTGCTAATGAGAAAGAACATGTCAGTCAATATAATCAATACACTTGGAATATTTATAGGGCTTAAAAGAGCTGGCAGGAAGACCTTGGTGTGTTTGTCAGCACCATTTATACCTCTAAAGTCAACCAGATCAAAATAAGAAAATTAAAGGAAAATTAGGTCTTAATTTATGCATAATAAGCTCTCTTATTATGACTCATCTAAAAGCATTGCTTATTTAATTAGACTCTTAATTTAATGATTGGATAATTAGCCACAATTTCATTGTCAGAAATACATATCATATATAAAAAAAGAGCTGACAGGTGCCTGTCTTTGTCATATATACTTTATAGATCTCCTAAACATAGCCCCAGTTTATCATCTATGGTTACTGGATTACTGAAGACAGTATGACTAATCCAATCAAACTCCATTAATCATTAACCTAAAGTTCAAATATACACATTCAGCAATGCTGCACAACAGAGGGGTGCGGCTATTGCTTTTTAAGATTAATGATTTTTTTAGGCTTTAATGTCAACTATATGATATATATATATATATATATATATGTCATAAAAACAAATTTTTAGTTAAAAGTTTCATAAGGACTCAAGCCAGTTTTACTCATTAAAATGAAGTGAAGTGGTTTTAGTGTGAATGGATGATATTTACTGAACATTGAGAGCTAATCTGGAGGGGCATTTGCCCGTGCAGCTGCAGTGGACAGAGCATATGTGTGAGAGAGAAAGCGGGAGGTGGGAGGGGCCATTATTGATTTCCAGGGTGGGCATGCTGATGCATTATCAAACAAACCACACAAAGGACTTCTCGCTCGTCCACTGGCCCGTAAATTTTGAGCAACGCACATTTTTATTCTACTTCATATTTAGTGGTGGTTCAATACATGGTCTGCTGCTCACCAGCCGGCTGACCTGAATTACTTGCTTCAGTGAGCTGTCTATCGTCCTTATCTCACTCTGACTAGACAGCAGGAGAGAAATGCTTACCGAGGTCTGGGAACACTCAATATCACAGCACTAAACCTCCATCGCCACCCCCTCAATTTACCGGAAGAAATGGTTTGCTCCAGTAATTACTAATTAAAGCCCCCTACACCAAAATCAGCCAGCCAGAGGGCTTTTAATCCTGGCGGGAGTGAACACAGTGGTTCTCTCACTTCTTTCCTTCCCGGGTTTCTCCATCCTCTATTTGTGAGGGATTAATCAGCTCGTCAGGGAGCGAGAGGGAGTTGATCAGATTTTTCCAGGCTCCTCTGGGCGGAGAGAGTGAAGAAAGTAGGTTGATGCTGGAAAGCATAATAACAGTTTGAAATCCAGCTGAAAAAAACCCCCAAGCGTTCACGGTTTGATAACATCAACAGCGCTGCCGTCAAGACATTGATTTATAACTTAAATGCACTGGCCTTGATAAATGCTGCCTTGTGTGTTCAAGGAAAATCAGATACATTAATATGCTTCACATAGCATCTGCCATCACTGATGTTTGTATGATTTAGGCTTGTTTGCACTTAATGCTGAAAAAGAAAAATGATTCTGAAGTTGTGGATGAGGAATGATTGGGGTAGGATCAATGTAGCCGTCATAAACCGCCATCTGGAAATCTGTCTGGCCTTGTGTTTTCTCTGGTCTTGCCGACTCACTCCCCGCACACATACCCTCAGTAGTCGGAGTAAAAATGGATTCCAATAAATAATGTAACACTAAAGGTTGGGCGGTGGGGGATGGTGGAGCTTGTGGTGAACATTGTCTTGTAAGAAACCAGAGCATGTGAGGACACGGCTGCTGGTTTTTCCTTAGAAAGCTCTAATGAAAACATAGTGCTGTTAAGGCTTGCTTGCTTTATTGATTGATTGATTGTTTTTGTACTCTGTGATCCCCCACCCACCCAACCTCTTAGCCAAACCAGGGACCCTCTACTATTTTCTATTTTTATAAAACATTAAAATTTTAAATTAAAATAATATCAAACATTAATATATGTATATATAAAATATATTAATTTACACACACATGTATGTATGTATATGTTTATGTATGTAATATATTAGTTTTATAAAGTCAGTGGACTTGTTTTGGTATTTTCTGCAATGCATTTTTAAATAATCATTTATACATTGACTGTTAAAATGTGACTTTTTTCTTAGAGATACAGTACAGTAGCTTTCAATAGTAACATTATATCTATCTATCTAGCAATGTATCGATCTGTCTATAGTGTGTAGATTAATTTATATGTATAATAGTAATAATAATAATAATATATTAAATATATAATTATATATATACATTTTAAATAATTTTAATATATATTTTAATTGTTTTGTATTTTAATAATGTAATTTTTTTAATATTTAAAAAAATTATATACAATATAAACATTTCTAAAATCACACACACCTACACACACACATAATTTATATGTATAATAGTAATAATAATAATAATATATTAAATATATAATTATATATATACATTTTAAATAATTTTAATATATATTTTAATTGTTTTGTATTTTAATAATGTAATTTTTTTAATATTTAAAAAAATTATATACAATATAAACATTTCTAAAATCACACACACCTACACACACACACACACACACACACACGTCATGTATACAATGTATGTTTATATACATGCATATACACACACACACACATTACATTATGTAATATTTGTATACATTTATATCTATATATATTCCAAAATTATTCTTTAGCTACATTTTTCTCAGTACATATTCTACTAAAATTTTGTATTTTATATTAGACTCACTACTTATTCTACAAAAATTTAATATTTTATATTAGTCAGTGTACCTCTGGTTGAAAACCTAGATGATTTGGGTTATTTTCTGCAACATTAACGATATTGTCGTTAATCATTCATAAAACAGCGAGAGAGAATCTGGGTCAATATTTTGTTTGATGTGTCTCCCCACAGCATACAAAGAGAAGATGAAGGAGCTCTCCCTCGTCTCCCTCATCTGCTCCTGTCTCTACCCAGAGGCACGCAAGAACATCATGTGCGAGTTTGAAGGTAGGAAATGAAAATATAATACCGGTAATGAGAAGCAGTGTAGAAGGAATTTACAATAATATGTTGTGCTTTATAGTGTTCATTCTGTCTGATCTTCATAATATAGCTTTTTATTGGCCTGTATGTGTGCCAGCAATACTACACATTTATTATTGTAACAGCTAATATAGATCAATAAATGTCTGATAAATGGTCAGGATGGCTGTTTAACAAAGTTATACGAGCTCATTTCATGAGCAGAAGGCAGTTGGTGCGGTTTATTGCATGGATCCGGATGCTCATACCTCACCAATGTGTAGAGGAATATTTGCTGCCTGACATACTGCAGTTAATACACAGCATATATTTTACTTTATGTCTTGTGTGTTTAGACATGGAGGTTAAGCCCATTAACAAGCGGGCTTCTGGCCAGGCCTTTGAGGTCATCCTCAAGCCACCCTCTCCCACGGCTGACGGCTCCTACAGCATCACTACACCTCCCAAAAAGAGGGACATGTCCCTGGAGGACATCCAGAAGAAGCTGGAGGCAGCAGAGGACAGGAGGAGAGTGAGTTGCCCATTAATTTGTATTATATATCCATGTAGCTTATGTTTGATGTTTGCTATTTATTTATTTATTTATTTAATGCCCCTTACACTTTTATTTAATGTGAACTGATAAACAGATGATTCCTATGACTCTGCCCCACTCTTCCTCTCCAGTCCCAGGAGGCTCACGTCCTGAGGGCCCTGGCTGAGAAACGTGAGCACGAGCGGGACGTCCTGCTGAAAGCCATGGAGGAGAACAGCAACTTCAGCAGGATGGCGGAGGAGAAACTCATCATGAAGATGGAGCAGATCAAGGAGAACCGTGACACCCACATTGCAGCCATGCTGGAACGACTGCATGAGAAGGTACTTACACTAAAAACTTCAAAAGTTTGGGGTCAGCAAGATTTTTTTTAAATGTTTTTATGTTTTTGAAAGAAGTATCTTATGCTGCATTTAATCACAAATACCAGCAACTTCAGTAGGATGGCGGAGGAGAAACTCATCATGAAGATGGAGCAGATCAAGGAGAACCGTGACACCCACATTGCAGCCATGCTGGAACGACTGCATGAGAAGGTACTTACACTAAAAACTTCAAAAGTTTGGGGTCAGCAAGATTTTTTTTAAATGTTTTTATGTTTTTGAAAGAAGTATCTTATGCTGCATTTAATCACAAATACAGAGAAAACAGTACAAAAAATACAAGTAATATTGTAATATATTATTACAATTTAAAAAACTTGAAGTGTTTTTTATTTTAATTTAAAAAAAATTATTTAATGTATTTTAAAATGTAATATATTCCTGTGATGCAAAGCTGAATTTTCAGCATCATTACTCCAGTCTTCAGTGTCACATGATCATGACATGATTTCAATATGCTGATTTGTTGCTCAAGAAACATTTCTTAATATTATCAATGTTGAAAACAGTTGTGATGTTTAAAGGTGACATATTATGCCCCTTTTTACAATATGTAATATAAGTCTCAGGGGTCCCCAGAATGTAACTGTGAAGTTTTAGCTCAAAATACCCCACAGATCATTTATTATATCATTTTGAAAATGCCTATTTTGAGTGGAAGCAGAAACACGCTGTATTAGAGCATGTTTCTTTAAATGCAAATGAGCTGCTGCTCCCCGCCCCCTTTTCCAGAATAGAGCTGTTACTTGAATAGAGCCATTACAGCTCGGACCTGCTAAAGACATCTGTTTTGGTTCTGATTATCATGTTTATTGCGCTGAAATCATGCGTTTTAAACCATATTAGTTTAAACTTCTGATATACGGTTTTTTGAGCGCATACATCCGAAGCACACGGACAGAAAGCGTCTGTCACAGCATGTGAGTACTAAACTAAGTTTTCATTCACACACAAGTTTACGTTAAAAACACACATGAGTTACAAAAAACAGACAGAACATTCAAGAAGGTAAACAGCTGGGAAATAAATCGCATGTTTATTTTAGATCTGTGTGGCAGCAGCAATATACATTAAATAAATCAATAAATCCACTGCTCTCTTGTCTCCTCTGAGGCTGCGTCTCTAAATAGTGTTCTGTGCTCGTCTGTGCAGCCAAAGACGATGGCATTAGCATGTTATGCTAATGAAACGTTAGCATGTTTTGCTCAAACTTTCGTCATGGCATTAGAACTAGTACACCGTTGTCGCTTGCGAAATCAAATAATGGCGCCATGGCTGGAAACTTACAGATTAAGGGGCGGCAATATTATAATGAAATCCCTTTGCAACGTCACCAGGGGAGCGATATCAGACACGCTCGTTTTTTCAGACGCTTGCAGAAAAAAGCTTATCAAAACAAAGTTACTGGGTTTATCTTTTTCACGTTTCCTTGGTTGGTAGATGCACCAGGGACCTGATTATAGCACTTAAAACCTGGAAAATTCAGATTTTCATGATATGTCACCTTTAATATTTTATGTGGAAACAGTGATTTTTTAAGGATTCTTTGATGAATAGAAAGTTCAAAAGAACAGCATTTTTTGGATTTAGCATTTAGGCTTAATAATATGAATTAAAAAAAACAAACACAAGAATTAAAATTAAATGCATAATTTATCACATTTTTATTTTAAACAATAACATTTTATTTTAAATATTTTTATATTTTTATGCTACCGGCACGTACAATACCACCGATTTTAAAAACTTCTTGAGAAAATGGCTTGCTGGTATATCAACTTTAAGCTATAAACTGTAATGTTTATGCTAATCAATTTACTGTATTACTTCTCTATGTGCTTTCAGGAGAAGCATGCTCAGGAGGTGCGCAGAAACAAAGAGCTGATGGAAGAGTTGACAGCATGAGCACATCTCTCTACACCCACTGTCCCATTACCCCACACCACCCCCTCCCCATACCTGCGACCTCCCGTCCCCAGAGAGACCCCCTCTCACCCTGCCACCACTGCCCCGTGTAGAAAAGAGCCTCTGGCACCCCGCCCCGCCCAGACGAAGGGAATCGACCCTGCCCCCCTCACCAACAGCATCCTCCCAAATATAGTCCAGAAGACAAAAGAAACACCATTACTCCAGAAAAAAAGAAATGTTTTTTGATTAAATCGAAACCAGTCAAAGTGGGTGTGTTTTTTTGTAAATACTTCCTATTTGTTTTATATGAGACGATGAAAAGTATTGCGGTGTGCCATTTTATAAGTTTCTCTCTGTATCTTTCTCTTTTAGTGGATGTACTCGTTTTCTCTCTCGCTCTCTCTCTATCAGATCTGCTACAGTTTCTCTTGTACCAGGCTTTGGTGTTTGTGAGGTTGCTGGCTAGCAATGTTTTCTCTAAACCCAACGATCATTTTAGTGTCTCTATATCCATGTGGAGAGAGTAAAAGCCGCCACAGTACAGTAAACAGCTCTAACAGGTCACTATCATAGCATTTACAACAATCTCTAGCTCTTTCTTCACACATTAATCACAACACACAGACACATACACACACACACACGCATCCAATCAGCTTGATTTAGTAAAAAATGACATGTTGCTTTAGAGGAGCTGCGGTTTGAGCCACGCCGAAGTCATGTGACGTCTCTCGACCCGTGTTTGACCATAGTCTGGGTTGCATTTTTGCTGACGGTGTAACACCAAGTCAGCCTTAAATTCTTGAGAATCACTTGAAGTTCTCAGTTCTGATTCTTCAAAGATTTAGGGGATTTCACAGGGGATTTTAGGTGATAAAAATGGATGCCGTGTGTAAGTGTGTGTGTGTTAAGAGCAGTGTGGGTGGACGGTGTTACCCTGTGTGCCATTACTCTTGTGTAAGTAGCTTTAATGTCACAAACCTGCCCACCCTCGTCTTTCTCTTCCAGCTGTGTGTTTTATTCCCTTCACACGTGTAACTTTGGGAGCATAAGCTGTGGTGAATAAAGGCTTGGGGTTCTTAGAATGAGAGTATCTGTCTTTGGCTCTGTTTTTTTTTTCATACAACATACATTAACATAAACATAATTCCACAAATTTAACAGCTGTAGGCCACAAAAGCGTGAATAACATAACCATGTGTGAAAGAACCTGAAGTGTAATGCCCTAATTTACCAACAGATGGCAATACATGACTTTGCAAGAAAACATGAAGCATAGCCTACTACTACTAAACTATATCCCCATTGTATGGGAATGTATGCATAGAATACCTATATGACCCACTATTACTATAACCTAATTTGCTTTCATAACGTCCAGTATGCAGTATTGTTTACTGTATATTATGTATCTCGTACAGCAATGTGTTCGACTTGACCTTCCACCGATGGATGGTGTAATAAATTAAAATAAATTAGGTTGCTAACCTAACTTTGTTTTACATTTTTGATGACTCGTTATTGACTTTAAAAAGCTGACATTTTACCCAAAATGAGAATAAAAAGCAATATAAGCATGTAACGCGACGAGGTCACGTGATAATTATGTAGCATACTAGGCTACTTTAAACACATCGAATAATTAGCCAACTTATTTATATATTAAATATAAGGCAGTATACAGTTAGTACTAAACTAATATTCAATTTTAAACAAGACCTTATTGATAAGACAGTAGTTTAGTAGTTTGTTCAGATTCAGAATTACTGCATGCACAGCATACTGCCTTTTATTTTTTTAAACTTAGTATAGCCTATGAAACAGTATTGGCTACAATATGCAAATATATGCATACGCATATATGCATTAATTCAGCAAGTGGCATCCAGCCATCATCATCTTGGACAAACTTAATTTTGCAACCGGTTTTGAGTAAAAATTTCAATCAGATAATGAGTCATGAGAAAATTTGTGAATTATTTGTAGACCATTCATTAAGCGTGTTGGATTTTGGGATACCTAGCACTGTATGCTCCATTACATACTGTACGTTTTGACAAATGTAGTAGGTCATCCACTATTTTATGCATGCAGTCAATTTGCATACTGCATAAATAGTAGCCTATGAGCATGCTATTCCAAACCTAGCCATTTCTGCTGCATTATCTACTTAATATTCCAGGTTTAGGAAATCCAACCATCACCTCTGGGGGGAATGAGGGGAAAAGCATGCGATAAAAGCCTCTAAAATAGATTTAATGGCAGCTAGAGAAATAAAGAAGTGTGTTGGCAGAGTGCTGTGTGTAGGTGGGAATCTGTTTTACGGCTTTGGCTGGCAGTCACAGTACCCGTGGTGGCGTGGGAGTGCACCACACCAGGAGCTCAGTGAGATGCTGGGATTGCTTTGGGACAAAGCTGCACTGTGCAGCCTTCTCCTCCCACTTTTCCATCTCTCTCGTTCCTTCTCTTCTCTCTCTGTACCTCTCTCTTTCCTCCAGGCCAGACCAGGCCAGGCCAGCCAGGCTGCCATTGTCCAGGATATCCCTTGGCTGTTAATGGCTTCCTGGATACATAGAGAGGCCCCTGGGTCGTGTTTGATATCAGTTCAAAACGCACGCATACAGGCACAGGTTCAAGCCCTATAGAAATGTGCAGCACCTCATCTGGCTGGCATGAAAGGAACTATTTATCCCCAAAGCATTGGGGATAAATAAATCACATGTAAGGCTTATTTATGTATATCCACCTGTGAAGAGCGAGGCTGACTGGAACATTTCAAACACGCCAACAATTCTGGACGATAAAAACATGAATGTAGTTTTCTTTGACTTTTTACACATAAAGTTCTAAGACTGTGAGGTTTGCCATGACAACATTTTAATTTAGATGTCTGTAAATATGGTCATGTTGTAACAAAAATATGTAATCATTTTGATTGGGATTGCACCAGTTTAAAATTTTTGGCTGATGCCTGATAATTTTCATGTAAGGGCCAATAATTAAAAAAAAAAATGGACAAATGTTAAAATTATAATTAATTAGATAATTTAATAAAATGATTGTCAAATTAATAAAAAATAAAACACAAAAAACTAAAACCAATCATTTTAAATGCTACAGCTGAATTTATGCATCACAACATTATAATGTACAGTATAAAAAAAATAGATATTCATTTTGAGATTTGTCAAAAATGCACCAATTTTAAATTTCTGACTGATACCAATAAGCTGATAATTATTTTTTATGTAATGGCCAATAAAAAAAAAAAGGGCCAACATTAAAATTATATTATGTTATAATTTTTAATTATATTAAATCAGTTTTTAAAATATAAATACATGTAAAAGAAATGCATTTATTTTTTAAATTTAAAGCACTCAAAACTAAACCAATGATTTTAAATGGTTAATTTATTAATTTTAAATGTATATAAAATGCTGAATATTTATGCAAAACATTATAATGTACAGTAAGTTTTTTCATTAGATTGGTTAAAAATGACATTTAACATTTTAAATAGCCTAATTGTTAAATCTGTAATATCGACTGATAAGTGTTATGGTACCAGTATATTCGCATTTGTAATTTTGAATGTATCAATGACAATGTCAAAAATGAAAACAGGACATGAATACACAAGTCCAGGGTTATTAGCTACACATTTCATTTTATTACAGGTAAGTCACACAGGTTAGTGAGGGACAGGCACAGTACCACACCATCTCTTCCAATACTATCTATTCCCCTAGTCTCATCTGATTTGCCAGTGCAAATTCCCTATTACCACAAAACAATCTGGTTTTCCAAAACACTCCTCAAGTACAGTTAACTAAGAGAGAGAGAGATGATCTGGTGCATGAAGGGGGGAACTTATGCACGTGAGCAAACAACTCTGCTATGGACAAATCCAAGAGTGCCTTTGCTACAATTAAATTAGTGCAGTTATGAGAGGTTGTCTATCTAGATTGTCTCTGTAAAGGTTTAACAGTGGTCTGTCCCGGCAAACAACAAATTCATAACATTTTAAACAAATAAACACACACAGCAGGTCACTGGCCAAAATGACTTAAAATCTTTATAAAAATAAAGTACTCATCAAGTTCAGCTGAGGAATACAGATTCAGTTGCATAGTTTCATGTACATTTGCAGAGGGACAATTGCAAAACATCAGTGTCAACTTCATTGCATAGTTTTTCAATTGCATGGAAATGCTGAACATATTTCCTCACAAAATAAGTCAAATCCTGCCTTGTCATTCTGAAGGAGACGATTTAGGATGCAAATATATGTTTCATGTGATCAAAGCACTTTTTTACTATCTTTAACATAATTAAAGGGATAGTTCACCCCGAAAAAGAAAATTCTGTCATTTACTTACTATAATGTCATTCCTATATTCCTTGTAATTCTTCTCTGGAAGATAAAAGAAGATATTTTAAAGATTGTTGGTTGGTAACCAAATGGTTTTGGGTCCCGCTTGGACAAAAATTCAATGGAAGTCAATGGCACCCAAAACTGTTTGGTTACCAACATTCATCAAAATATCTTCTTTTATCTTCCACAGATGATGGGTGAGTAAATGATGACAGAATTTTCATTTTTGGGAGAACTGTCCCGTTAAATGGACATCTGGTTTGAGCTTAACTCCATTAACACCCATTCAGTGATGCATCTCATCTGCTTTTGCTCCAATCTCTCTCTCTCTCTATTAGTTTACCTTTCTCCACTGAGGGACAAAAGAACTAGACTTGCTCAGAACTGATGTGCGAGAACCTGACCCTCTCCTAGAACTCATCTCTGCTCAACCTGAGACAGGACAGCTTTAAAAGACAGGGTAACTGGAATAAGTACATCGGATCTGTATTCGCTTTTTCCCTTTGTACAAGTCTGCGTTTCTGCCCATCTCTTCAAAATAGTCAGAAGTTACAGAAAAAGTCATTTCTAACTGACTGTCTGTCCACAGCGTTCATGTTTTCAAGTTCAGAAGGATTGAGGCAAACTAATGCCAGCATTTCCTTTTCCAAGAAGTTCAGCCAGTAATGAGACTTTAAAATAAATAAATAAATAAATAAACTCTAGACATTTGATTGTGAGATGCGAGTCAGGTGCAGTGATTGACACTCACCTGCTTTTCAAACGCGCTGGGCACCAGCCTGCGCAGCTCAGACAGACTGTTATTTATCCGGTCCCTGCGGCGCTTCTCAATGATCTGTTCAAGCCGATTGTGAAATCATTAATAACAGTCATTTAAGAACAGTACAGCCATTTGTTCAGCATTACAGATGAGGTTTTCAGGGTTTTGCAACGATGAAAAATGCTCTTACCCCTCTGCGACGTTTTCTCGCTTGCACTTGAGAGGTTGTGGATGGAGACATTGAACCAAGTGGAGAATTCACACCGCTTTAAAAACAAAATATGCATAAGATAAATATGAACACAGTAAATATAATATTCATTATGAAACATGATATTGACCAACATCTAAAACGAAACGATTTTCTAGGTAATATTCCATACAATTCCGTTGTCAGACATGGGATTTGAAATTATAATCTTAAATCTTGTGTGCGATACAAATTTAATGTGCGCACATCTAATTTTATGGTATTTTCTTCTCCAGTTTGTTGCGAGTTCAACGTTTCATCACTCAAAAAAAGCAAAACAACCCAAAAATAAATAAATGACAGCTAACTTACGCATTTTCGTCAGCACTCTCCTTCTCCACTTCGATATTCTCATCGAGCTCGCTGTCTGAGGAGCTAAAATCGTGATTTCTCTTCATTTTTCAATAATCTTACAGAGCGTATCCGCAGCGTGTGTCAGGTGAGACAGAAGTTCATCCGTATGAACCGACAAGCTTTCCCACGGTATCATTTCAACGCCGCAGCTCGCCAGAAGAGGCGTGGCTAAACCCGTGGAGAGCCAATCAACGAACAAGTCTGAGATTGAGTGGCATGTCGGTTGTCAACGTCCCAGTTTAGCCCCGCCCCTCTTTTTGAATATGCTTAACAAAGGGCCAATAGAAAGTTCGTCCGTGAGTGCGGAGCTCCGCCCCCGGGTTCCGCCGGCGCTTGTGTTGTCTAGCCCAGCTAAAGGAGTGGCTGGCCGGCTGTCAGCACGCGTTGGCCGTGGGAAAGTTTCTTAGCAGAGAGCTGATAACCAATCAGGGGCGACGGCCGTCTCCGGCGCTGGAATGAATGGGGCAATTGGTTGGGGCGACGGGCGGTCTGCGAGTGAGCGTGTGAACCTGTAATCTAATACTAACTCATCCGAAGTAGTGCAGTGTGTACGAGGAAGCCACCAAGTCTAAATGTAGTCCATGAAGCTCAAACATGTACCTTCTTTGACGGCATTCCCAAAGGTACATTACAATTAAAACCGACCAGTCCCTTTAAATGGACTAATAAGTACACAGCAGTAAACACAGCAGAGTTTTCCACTTGCAATAAGCATGAAATATATATATATATATATATATATATATATATATTCATAGTATGCAAACATACAGAAATAGCATACATACAGATATACATACAGAAATAGCATACAAATTAATATAAATAAACCATATACATTTGTGAAATACACTTTAATATAACAGAATTGAAAATGTAAATATGCTATATTCCATCTAAAATATTTTTTCAAATTCTTGTGTAATTATTGTACATTGAGCTTTTATGACCTAATTTTCTATTTTCATTTATATGAATTTTAACCTAAAATATTCATACAAATTTAGAATGATAAAAAAAAATATATATATATATATATAACCTCATAACACGTATATCAATCTATGTTCTAATTCATTTCAAATTCAGTTAAAGTCTTCTGTATTTTTGCAAATAACAAATATTAATAATATTATTCTGTCAGTCAAGAACTAGTATTTGGTTGGGGCGACGGGCGGTCTGCGAGTGAGCGTGTGAACCTGTAATCTAATACTAACTCATCCGAAGTAGTGCAGTGTGTACGAGGAAGCCACCAAGTCTAAATGTAGTCCATGAAGCTCAAACATGTACCTTCTTTGACGGCATTCCCAAAGGTACATTACAATTAAAACCGACCAGTCCCTTTAAATGGACTAATAAGTACACAGCAGTAAACACAGCAGAGTTTTCCACTTGCAATAAGCATGTAAAATACGTTTTATATTTTTACACTATTTAAATGTAATAATATATTTGCTCATAATATAGCCTATATACATATAACAACATTTCGAACAAAAACATACTAGCATAAAAAGTATAATAAAAATCAATAAAAAGAATTCAAAATGTTAACATGCTACATTTAATCAGATTTTCCTGCAGCTGGTGTGTGGTGAGCGCACTGGCGCCGTTGCCCTGTGGCTGCCGTTGCATCATCCAAGTGGATGCTGCACACTGGTGGTGGTTTGAGGAGAGACCCCCCCCCACACACATATGATTGTAAAGTGCTTTGGGTGTACAGCAATACAAAATAAAGCGCTATATAAATGCATCATTCATTCATTCATTCATAGTAAGTGTGCACACCTGTAGACTAAATTACAAGTTACTAAATAACATATTTCACACATTGAAACAAACATGAAAACCATCATATATTGATTCCTATAGGCAGAGGCTGCAAGCGCATCAGGAAGAGCTCCTGATCAACAGAACAGAGCTAGTAGACGTTGATGTGTGCTGCTGGCCGATACGCCGCAGCTGGATCCTTATCAGCCCGTGCACATCACGCTTAATTGTCATCGGTTCTGCATACATGAATGAGAGGAAGCTCAAGATTTCATGTTGTTATTGCTACCAACTTCGGCTCGACGGCATGGATGCACTTCCTCGTGTTTGCCTCTGACAGGGGTGGATGGCGGGCCGTTGTGTTTGTACGTGTATGTGTGTTTTTCTATGTGCTCGGGGATGGGGGTGGCTCTTTTTGTCGCTGTAACTCAAGTTCGCAGAGGTTTCCCACGCTGTTATTTTCTACTGACGTTCGTCTTTGTTCTTGCGTCTCATCACATGTTGTGATTAGTGCTCCCTTTTGAAGGTGTGGGCCCACAACAAAACCGTATTTCCCCCCACAAAGCATGCCAGAGCCTCTTCTCATTCCAAGCTTGAGGTTTTTGCTCCTCCGAGTGGGTCTCCATGTC